TGATTTGATCACAAAGTCACAATGAAGTAATCACATTTTTAAGAAGAGAAAGTACAATCAAAAGAGTAAATAAAGCAATTATGTTAACAATGCAGCAACAATGGATTAAGCAAATGAACCTGATAATCCTGTTTATAGAGCAGGAATGTATTAGGAAACTTTAAAGGCCATTATTCATAAGTTCTATATTTTGAAATACAAGGAACATTTCCAAACTAAGAAAGGTATAATGCAGAAACTTTTAAGAGCTAATCATTATGTTGTTTTATTTGCTCTGAATCATCAGTAAAATATGTACCCAAATTTTGGAAATATTAAGAGATTCATGACAAAAAATGAGTTTAAAAAAAGTATGTTAAAAAACATAATAACTGAACAATAATTATTGGATAGGAGTGCAAAGCAGTGTATGTATTAACCTGTAATCCATATTCCTGGCATGTTTCAACTTACTAGCTCAGGTACAGAGAAAATGTTCCTTTAAAAAAGTCAATTTACAATGGGAAAGGGTACCCCTTGAGTTGGTACCAGTTAATATGAATGAAAAACTACAATTAGTGTAGTTTTCAATAATGCATTTATACATGCATGCATGCATGGACACAGAGGTACATTATGAGAACTAGGTAATTCAATTAACAAACAAATGAAGCAAGTTTCACATTGATTAATTAAGACTGCAGACAACCTACAATTTTCAATTTGTTTTATGCCAGACAAGATTTGTGTATAAACTTCCACTTTTTAGTACAATATCTCATATTGTTATGCATACAGAAGCACTTCCTTAACTTTTTTTTATCATGAGCTGTCTATATTTAAGGTAAATTCACTCTTAACTCAACTCCAATCACAAGAAAAAAAACCTTTTTGAAATAATAATTCTTGCACCATTATGAGCTACTTTCAGATACCAACTAGTGGTGCAACAGAATGACACAGACTTTCTCGTACTAGTTATTTTCTAATTTCTTTAGCCTGGTCTACCTTTTCTGTCTTGCCATATATTTTTGCGAGCAGCTGTCTATTGCTGCCCAAATTACATTTTTTGAAATTATCCCAATTTTTTGGTTTCCTAATGGTAGAAATGAAATATTACTTTAAGAATATTAAAGAAGAGTGAAACCTCATCCTAAATGGCAATTTTCATAAAAAAATTTGGAGCTGTTTCTAAGAAAATTGCATTTTGTAAATGAATTTAAAGCTCTTTTTCAAAGCAAAATTTTTGAGTTTGCAAAAATCTTGATTGAAAGTGATTTGAAGCACTTCCACTAACAAGTGCAATAGTGGTTACAAATCACTGAATACGTGTATATTAACGCTGTAAGACATATTTTAAAAAAATTACATTTTTGGAATTTTTGAAAAAAAAATAATACAGCAAAATGAATCTTATTGCAACTAAAAGAGTGCAATTAGCACTTTATATTAACAAAAAGTTTGAAGAAAAAATTTGGAGCTGTATTTGAAAAAATGGCGATTGAGCGTTTCTGAAAATTCAAAATTTTGAGTTGCTTTTCAGAGAAAACTTCGAGTTTTCAAGAAACTCTATGTGACATTATTTAAAGCACATGTACTGATAAACACAATAATGTGAACAAATCACCACCAATGTAATTATTAACAACGTGAGAGTCAAGTCAAAAATATTAAATTTTTGTAATTTTTAAAAAACAATTGACTATAGCAATATGGTGTTTATGTCATCACATAGAATGCAATAGGCACTAAAATTAAAAGAAAAAATTTTGAGAAAATCCTGTTTATGTTAATTTTCTAAATTGCATATAGTGCACAAAAACTACTTAAATGTTCGAAACTATGTAGAGAGAGACCTTGAAACATGTATTTCCATTGAAATCTTGAAATCGGTTTTCCACAGCACTAAGTTAAAACAGTGTTAAACAACCCCAAGATTAGGATTTAAAAAGCTGGGCTGCTAGTCAATGTTAAGACCAGCACCCACTTTCTCAAAACTCATAAATATCATCAAAACACGCAAAAATTGAGCCACTTTAAGGTACTTTTCAAGAATTTGAAAACTCATCTCATTTTCATAATGGGTTTCAACAGGGATCATAATGGCATAATCAAATAATTTTGGATTTCATTGCATCAATTTGAAAAATCATAACTATAAGCCAATTTTCAATACCTCAGAAACAAAATCGTGATTTTGGAATTAAAATATTCAGGAATCTTCAAATGAAAATCAGAGGCCGAATGCAGATACAAACAATATCAGAAAATGAAGAAAGGATTACATCTATTCTGAACTTTGGAAAGGAAAAGGAATGGAAATGAATACAGAAGAAACAAAGAAAAACTACCTGGAAGAGCAAGTGAGTCTTAATTAATGGATGTAGATTTAAATTCATTTGAACTGAAAAGACAGGAAGATGCTGAGAGCAGCTAAAAATAGAAAAAGCCCAGGAATAGATTAAGCAAACAAAACTAATGCAGTATGATAGATTTGAATAACACAACCTGATCTATTCAACAAAATTTGAAGACAATTTAATACACCAAGAAACTTGCAAGAACCTAAACCTACTCAAAAAAGGCAATAATACAGAATTCAAATATTGCAGGAGAGCAACCTTCCTATATCTCCACATTAGTTGTTAACATTTTTAAAAAACAACTTAACAAATACTGTGAAGGAGAATAACAATGCAGATTCAGAAAAACAAAGATCACAATGGATTCATTATTCGTTCATCATACTTCAAATCATAAAGACTAAACATAGAGACAATATCAAACAAATATTCATTTTATTCATTGACTACAAAAAAAGTGTTTTCTCTTAATACAATGTCATAAGCTGTTGAAAATTCTTAAAGAGGAAGGCACACCAACACAAATAATTAAAGGAATTAAATTTTTTTATGAAAACTCAAAGATAAACAAGACATTTCCAACAAACTTCAGAACCATTCCTACTACAAGCCATCTAAGACAAGACTGTGGACTGTCGCCACTTCTTTTCACCTTCAATGCTAACATGATCAGCAAATGGGATGCAAAACTAAATAACATCATAACAATATTGTGTGAAGATTAACAAGCGATACTTATAGAAACCAAAATTAACCTGCTGAAAACCTTCCAAAGAATTTAAAAAATCACTGAAGAACATGGAACGATAAATGTGGGAAAACATGGCCTTTTGAGCCAAATAATAAAAAGGATAGTAATAAAGTAGAAATTAATTGAATGATCATTATTTCAATTAGTAAGAAATTAAATTACCCATAGTTAATACCTGGGAAATATAATTGGACAAGAACATGAAAACTTGAAAAATGAAATCAAAAAATTTAACAGAATAAATGTGACAATAAAAAGAACTTAGGAATGGATAAGCACATGAGACAAAGCAGAGAATAAACAGAATATCAACAAAGCCAGCATTAATGTACAGATCAGAAACTTGGACCATGAAACCAGACATCTTCAAAGATTACAAATGAGTCAGAGGATCCTATGCCACTTGGCCAGAAAAAATTGAAGACTACCAAACCAGACCATTGAAAAAATAACATATGTGAAGATATAAATAGTTGGAAGGCAATCAAAGATAGTGGTTGGAAGACATGCAAGACTACCAAAGAACTGAAATACCAACCTTTAGGCTGAAGACAGGAAGGAAGGCCAAAGACGAAATGAATGCAATAGGAACACCTGATGTAATAACTGAACAGGGCAAACCTCTCCCCCCCCCAATAGGTCATAAGGGTGAATATTTGAACCAAGAAACCTTTCTACACATTTAAAACAACAACATTCATAACCAGCATTTAAAAAATTAAATTCACCCCAGTAAATGTATACCCTTACAAATTGCCACATCAACCAGCTCCAAAATAAAAGGTGAAAATTAGCAAGACATGTTATATGGCATACTGAGACATTTTCACGCAAACCAATAATTTTGGATTTGTTTGCTTATTTGAGAAAAAATGATATAATTTCAATTTCAAATTTGAAATTCCTTTTCAGATATTCAGATTGCCATTGCATATGCTTTTAACTACACAATAAAAGATTATAACAAGTAACTACATCTACCTCATCTGGGTTGTGATGATGACACACTACAATAATTTTGGACTCATCTCCTTGTTAAATAATAATAATAATAATAATAATAATAATAACAACAACAATAATGAAAATAATAAAACATATACAGTCATATAAATCACCCAAACATTCACTATATGCAGCAATATTTCCAACCATATAAATTCCAAATATGCAGCAAATTTGTACAATAATTTAATATTCAATTAAGCTCTCTTACGGGTTTTAATATTAAATTATCCCTTTAAATTTAAAGACAGTTAAATAAATTCATTTTATAATTTTCCAATTACTACAAAAATAAAAAATAAAATGAGTTTATTTAACTATCTTTAAATTGAAAGAGATAATTTAATATTAAAAGATATTAGACAGAAATAACAATCAATCGCATAGGGGCTCAAGACGATCTGTTAAGATAATGATGATACAACAGCTTAACCTTTTTCATATTATTTGTAATGGTTAAATGATTTTTATTATATTGCAACTCTTATTATTTTTATTCTTCATCTATCTCGTATAAAACCGTCTTCAATAACAGAAGCACAAGAGATTCAAATTTACAATTTTCAATTAAAAAATTTCAGAGCATTTAATGAGTCAAACTTGTTCCATTTGAGAAAGAAATTTAAAGAAAGGACTTACTCTGGAAATCAAACCCCAGCCTTCAGAGCGGGAAGTCACACACAGTCCTTTGTCTCATAAAATCAGAGAGCAAAAAAAATTGCAATAAGTCATTACCTCAATTTTATTTTAAAAAATGCTGTTACAACTGTTTACTTCTAAAGTGCTGAATAAATGCAGTACAACTAATAAAAGTTGTACAAGAACACGTGAAAGTTTGAAGCAGTCTCCTGGTAAACTGGACAGTCACAATCTTTTAACATCATGGTGGTGATGTTATGGGATAACGATGCACCTAGTCCCTATCATGCACATCTTCGCTCAAACTCTGAACTATTCCGTATGCATCACCTTGCAGATCTGAACATTCCAATTTCACTGAGCAGCTGTCAACTTTAATCTCATAAAGAATATCTGGACCCAATGGCCACAGCACTCTATTGAATGTAAAAAGATAAACGAGGAAGAATACAAAAATTAAATTAAAACAATAAAAAATCATTTCTTTTATTGAAATATAATAGGTTCTTAAAAACCACATCTTTTTTGTGTATGTAAAGTACAAATGTTAAGTATAAAAATATTACAAAAATATATAACTTTTTTCAACACATTTTTGTTTTAATACAAAATCTACTATTTTTTTCTTCAAAAATGCATTGAAAGGGGGCAAAAATATTTATGAACCTGGATATTTTTTGAAAATTATTCTTATTTCATACCACATTATTAAAAAAATTTATCTTTTTTCAATATTCTCAAACCAGCTGATGCTGCTATCTGCCCTGGGGCACCCATTACGCCTCCCCCAGGATGTGCTCCACTTCCACAGAGGAGAAGATGGGGTATAGGGGTATATGGAGATCCACAAACATTCGATCTGTTCTTGAATTCATTTCCTCCCTCATTTATTCTTGCTGGCGTTGGCCGTGACAAAAAGAGCTGATGAAGAGGCATTGCTCCGTGGAAAATATTCTGCAAGAGAAAAAGTAACTATGAATTCTTTGCTGATAGTAAACAAGACCTCAGAATTTAACCTAAATATGCAATTCATGCATTTCCTATTTGGGGATGATTAAAGCATCATTTACTTTTAAGAAGGAACCAAAGAACCATCACAGTATCCACTCTTAGCCTTATTGTGAAAATGGACAAAAAACACGCTCAAGATGAATAGATCTAGATATATATTTTACACGAAGTAGTACCTTTGATATTAAATAAATAAGTAAATAAAATAATAGAATAATAATAATAATAATAATAATAATAATAATAATAATAATAATAATAATATTTTAATTGCTTTCTGAAACAAGTAATAATTTCTTAGACCAGTTCATTTAATGGGTCTCAATTACAATTTAAAAATTATTTTTATAAGCACTACATAAACAAAATACTTACACCTCCTGTTAATCCAAATATACTCTCTAAATCAGGTGGAGTAAGAACTTCTTTACCAACAACAGATGCTTTGAAACCTGGAGCATATTCTTCTATACTATCAAACACCTTTAAGGTACAACAAAAAATTAAAAGAATTATTTTATCACTTAAATAGTAAGACAGGATTTTAACTGTGTATGTACTTTAAAGTTAACTCACTGCTTTCTAAACAAGAGCTCAAAGAAGAAAATACATCGACATGTCATACTATCCTTGTTAAGTAAAATGACTTTTTAAATGAAAATTGGCAAACATTTCAAAAATAGAATAGTTAATGACATTTCCAATACTAGTCTCCGCTCCAATGTGACACTTTCAAAAATTATTAAGAACATGCAAGTACATTTACTAAGTACTTCTCATTTTAAAATGTCAAAGATCTTTTAGAATATTAATTTTATGCAAAAACTGCTATTTACTTTATATTTCACAATCTCATGGCTCTTACAATGTTAGCATATTCTTCCTTTGTTTCTTCATCCCAGGTTTTGCCATTGGACAAAGTATATGGTGTATATTGCGTAAATAGCAAACACACATGACAACCTGGAGGTGCCAGTGTTGGGTCTACACTTGATGGAATCACCATTTCAATTAAGGGCCTGCACAATTTTTATTAATATTTATTATGACAGAAAACAAGAACTTTCAAAGTAAATAAATCTAAAAGAAAAGAAGCACCTCTGACAGAGTTTCCCTTCTAGAGCATACTGATAAGTTTCAAAAATAGCATTTGAATTTTCACAGTTCAGATGAATTGTGCACTGGTGTAAGGGCAATGGATGACCTGGCTCAGTGCATGGGTCAGCAATGAAATTGGGTAACTTATTCACAGCCACTGTAACAAAATTTTCATAAGAACATAGGTTAAATAATATTATTTAAAATAACACAATAGGATGTCAAATGTGTTCCTGAGACTTGCTTCCTAATGATTGGTGTATTTACAAAGTATTTAAGAGGGGGTGCATTTTCATTCACATCCCCTTAATTTTTTTTTTAATTTTCAGCGTGAATTAAAGTGTTCCAGTATATTCATAATTGGAATACAACTTTGGATGTGATGTGATCAATATATAGTAAATTGTTTTGAGTAAATTGAGTGAAATTACAAAATATTCCAGAAAATTACAAAAAGCGTTTGGAGGGGTGGGGTGAGGCACATCTATGCCTCCCCTTCCCCTTGGATCTACCTCTATATTCAGTTCATACCAGCCAAGAATGTATTTCTTGCACTAATACCCTCTCCTTAGATCAAGTATGGCATAGCATTTGCATGGTATGATGATTTGTTCAATGTGTATGTATAATGTTTGCATGCAATAATAAATTGCAAACGAATTCAACATATCTATTAGCTATATTTTTACTCCATTCAACACAAGTAAATTTAACAAAATTTCCTGATCCATTTCATTTATAATTTTCATCAGACTTTTAACAATGTAATTATGTTTTGTCAACTTCTCTGTAAAATCTGCATTTATGAACAAGTATATCATTGTTATCAAATCATTTAATGCACCACTGAAATATATTGTGGAATAAATCTTCACAGATAATCTCCTGAAATTATCTTTTATCAATGTAGACAAAGATTTATACAGCTGGAGTTTTCGAGAGCCTGTCTATCTGGGTACTGTTATGGATCTTTAAGGTGATATGGAGTAATCTCCGGTACAACTGACCTTTTATCCTTTTTCAGTCTTTTGATACCTGTACAGTATGGTGTGGTATTGTTTTTCAGTACACATTTGACCAACCAAACAGGAACATTAATTAATCCTTCATGAAAATAGTTTTCAAAAGAAATGAAGTTTTTTTTTGTTTTTTTTTTAATGTGAAGGAGTGAAAAATATGGGTTTCCTATTAACATTTTCATAAATTTATGAAAGACCTAGAACTAATGTATTAATTCATCAACACATAAAAAACCCTTTCTGTACATTTAACTATTAACATTCTGAGGCTTTTGAGTAACTGAATGATGCAACTGTCTAGTGATTCATTCATAGCTACTTCCTGACATTTAAATAGAAATGAATATATTTTCGTGAATGAATTATTCATCTTCTACTTTCGATGCTAATGAATGTATGGTAGAATGTCTTCAGTGTTAATGAATGCACAAATGTTCGTTAGAAATGAACATAATAGTTCATTTCAACACAGAACTCAATTCATGACACATTAGGTATTAGTTTAAAAAAAGTTCTGTACACAGTGAAATTTTTTCTGGCCTAAATATCTGGCCATTTAGATGAGTAAACATTGATAACACACAATATTCTGTTGCATTGGTGTTTAATGAAATAAAGAACATAAGAACAACATATTTTTAAATATCCTTATTATTTGGATTTCATGTTCTTCTCCCCATCACAATCTATTTCATCTACGAAATGTAAGGTATATACTCTACATTAAAATAAAATATTGGGATCAGGTTGTGCAAGTATGTTAATTGGATTAGACACAAATATTTTTTAAAGGGTTTTTGAAACACCAAGTGAACAGTCATTTTACATGTGTCGTTTGAGATTTATTTCAGAATCTCTTCTCACTTCATCATGTCTAAGAGATAAGATAAATAATGATAATATCAAGAACCCAATATACAAATAATCAAGATAAAATTGGAAACTTTCCCACTTTTGAACAAGCAGTATGTCATATTTTCATATAATGTATTTTGATTAAATAAATTATGTATATTAAAAGTCATTCTAATTTTCTAGTTTCAAGCATAAATTTTTGGAATAATTTACCATTTATCTTCGTAACAGGTGATGTATAGTCAATACTGCGAACATCACACAGAAAATCTTCAGGTAATGCTTCAGGAGAGATAAGATCCAAAAAGGTCACCTTTGGGGTTGCATTAGATAACACAATATCTGCATTAATTTCAATACCATCTTCTAAAATAACACCAGAAGCAAATCCTCTGCTATCTACTTTGATTTGTTGCACTTTCTATAACACAAACAATTCACAACTCTTTTTATTAAATTAAAATACTTCAGCATCAAACATTGTCAGGTCAAGAATATTTTGTTTATATTCATCATGTGTATAAATTAATTAAATTCATAGTAGAACTGCCAAACATATACTAAATGTAAATAAAAATTAAAAAATAATAACAAACAATAAATTAATCAAAAGTCTACAAATATTATTTTTACATTTATCAGTGCATTAGAAACTACTGGTTTTGAGGGCACATTGAATTACTTACAAAACTGTATTTGTTCAAATTCCTTCCTAACAACATTTAAGTAAGATTTGGTGCTATGAATATACAGTTTTGTTCAATTATACAACAAAATCACTGTGTCATGCACAATAAATTTTGTTATAAACACCGAATGAAGTATCATATATAACAAACAGAAGCTTGACAACACATGAAAAGTTATCGTTAGCCTTATCAATAGTCTTATCACTGCTCTTTTGTTATCAGACTGCATGTGTTCAAACAAGATAAGGCATCTTTTATCATTCACCTGCTGACTCTTCATGTCTACACACATTGTTTTCACCTAAGGACGACGATGCTCTTGAGATAATGTCAGTTTATCCTAAGTGAGTAATGCCTTTGATCATGTATTTCTAAATGATATTCACAAATGAAGAAATGAAATGTTAACTTAATTAACAAGACAACAGTAATTTTCCTAGTGGTGAATTACATTTAAATTATTCATAACTCAATTCATCATCTAGTCTCAATCTGAAAATGGCAAAGAAAATGTTTGGTTTTCGAACTGAGAAGTGGTCACCTGGTCCTACAGCTGAAGGTCAAGATCAAACAGACAGACGGCGCTTGTCCATTTCTCGGTCAGGGCGCTTTAAAGAAGCCAAAAAAAGAATAGCTCTTGTTGATAACATTTATACGGAGCCATCTGCTAATGAAAAGAATCAAATATCTTCAGAAATACAAGACAGCTCTACCCCAGAAAGAATTTCAACAAATGACAGCGCCACATCCGAAGTAGGAAGTAAAGCATCACCAACTCTTCAAACTGATCGAGAGAGGCGAGAAAACAAATTGACACAAATCAGACTTCAACTAAAAGAAACTGCAATATAAGATGTTTCCTAAATCAAAATAAATTCAGTGTTTGTATAAAGGATAATAGTCGATTTGTTAAAGCTTGGTAATCCCCACCCAAAAAAACTTTGGTGAGTGACTAAAAGACTCGTGGTTCCGAGTGGTGTAACAAAATACAAAACCCTTCAGTGTTTTGAGCAAATACATTGGTGTGATGGATGTCAAGCATAATGAATTGTTAACGAAGTAAAGAGGAACAGTGTAATGAAAAAAGACTAAAGAACAAGGAGGAGCTAGTGAATCAATTAGAAGATTTGAAAAATGGTGCTGAATTTACTTCATAACAAGTAAGAGACTAAAATTACTGCATCAAGTGCATATATTCAAGCTTATTAAAAGCAAGGAATAATTGTTTTGTTTTTTCTGTTCCAAGAGCTTTTTGTAATAAAATAATTAAAATAAAAGCATGAATGTTTACAAACGTGTTTTAAAAAGAATGAGTTTTAAAACAATATCAATTAAAGTACAAATTTTGAAATACTTGCAGTAAAAAGTTTTTTCATTGAAGTTCTTTTCTATGCAAACTACAGCTCATTAGCTACTCAAACTATTAAAATGTTATTCATCTCCTTTGTTTTGTAAATCAAATATATACAAAAGTTATTCCCAAAATATTTTGCTCCTTTCCCTGTCTCTCTGTCATAATGAAGTTTTGTTTTTCCCTCTTGCCAGGTAAGGAGTAAAGTTTCACCATCCATAGATAGTAATAAATTCTAAGAATTGTAGTTTCTTATAAAACCAAAAGGCAAATTCATTTTATTATTTCCATTCCATTTTTGATGAAAGTTTTTAAATATTCAGAAACAAAATTCTTTCTATATTTTTTAAATAAATTTTGTGACCTTCCCTGAGGCACCTTTGAGTTCCTTTTTTTCATTTTTTTTTTATTTTTTATTAGCCAACTGCACATCCCATTAAGGGTAAGGGCCTCCTGCTTGGGAAGGGAATTATTAATCCTTTTTTAATGACGTGGTAGGATGATGATGAAGAGTGAAGGAACAATCACAAATACACGTATGCTCGAGGCAGGATTCGCACTGATTCCATCCTTGGATCCAAGATCGCCACTACACTACTGCCTTAGCAATCTTGGCTATCCGGATCGACCTTTTTCTCATTAATTACATTCAAATATTTGATCCTCAGGTGAATAAGCCACATAGTACAGGGAATTCTTCAAGAATATTTTCCTAAAAGCATTCAATGCAGTTACAGTAAGTAAACATTTAAAGGAAGTTCCAAAAATAAACTATTTCATTCAATTACTGCTTCTTGTAATGTTTTAAAATGTCATTCATAGATTCCTGATGAGAAAATCCTAAGCAAAAAAACCAACTGAAAAAATGTCCAAAAAATATTTGTGGGCACATTTATACAGAATTGCCCTCAGAACAAATTTGGCAATTTTAAACAAATGTGCACAATAGTGATTACCAAATCATATAAATATTTGGAATAGAAAATATAACTGTAATACAAACAATTAATCTATTATACACACAAGATGATTTGTTCATCAAGTTCTTTTTAACCATTAGGATCCTTTAACTAAGATGATACAATAATGCACGAAGGTTCCCAAATTAAAAACCACTACTACACAATGTATTTCATCCTTTGATTAATGATGTGGATTTTATTCATAAGATAACTTATAATAATGAAATCATCAGAGAAATAGTACATTTTTTAATAGTGTATTTTATAGTATGATTACAGTTGACTTTTGAGCAATGCGGAATATTTGCGTCATTTGTTTGCAGTGAAACAGAATGGGTAATTGTTTTGTCTGTCCTAAAAAGAATTACTGACATTAAATCAGCAAATATGTTCTTATCTTGGTAGTTTCAGTAGAGATCGTGGGGAAAATCATTTATTTTAAATATGAACTTCTTGTTTCAGGGTAAGCTTCCATTACCAAAATTACAATTGATAATTACACACAATTTCATTGAATAAAATATATTACTGAGATTATAATTTACCTTCAAATTCCACTGTTAATAAACTTTACAAAGAAAGGGTTATTTGGAGATATATTAACCCTTCACATACCAAGTGGGGTAAACATGTACCCCAGTCTCACTTTTTTAGTTGTTGTGTATGTTTCGTTTATTTTATGTTATTGAAATTTTGTTACATTGTCCGAAATATTTCTGTTGACTATTATATCTTAGAAAAGTACTTTTAAGATGTTTCATATTTTCTACTTAAAAACAAACACTGGGGTACATGTGTATCCAACTTAGTATGTGAAGGGTTAATATATCTCCAAACAGAGAAAGAAAGAGTAGAACAAGATGTAGTAAGTGTTTGTCATTTACATGTAATGAACATTAAGATACAAAAACAATAAAAATATGCATCAGTTGCCTAACACATGAATCACTTTGAAAGAAGTGTACTGGTGTAATAAAAGAGAAACATAGGAATAAAGTTACTTAATTCTATTAAATTTGTCTTTCCTTAAATATTAACTACTCAAAATAATCAAACTATTCATATTTTAGTTAGTTACTACATATATCAACGAAATCTTGCATAATATTCAAGTGGAGTACATGTGCACCCCACTTGGTATTCAGCATTTCATTTAAAGCTTGGTATGCAAAGGGTTAAAAGAAAAGTGTTCAAATAAACAGATTTGTATCATAACGAGTACTGTACTGTTAATATTTTGTATATATCAACTCAATTTAAAAACCTGTTTTGGAAGCAAAAACTAATTAGACAAGAATAGAGCAGGTGAATGGGAGAAAACAAGAAAGAACTAGAATGGCTATTGCAAACACTGATAGAAGAAAGTCAGAAATCAGGACTCAAGCTGAACTTAAAGAAGATTATTGTAATGACAACAGGACAGGAAGATAAAATACAAATAAATGCTGAGGAGATAAAATCAAGCTTTTGGGAGGAACCATAACAAATGATGGCCCAAAGAAATTTAAAAAAAATATTTTAGGTAAAGCAGTAATGAAAAAATGTAATAAATTCATCAAAGACTCAAGAATTATCAATGAATACCAAAATCAAGCTAATACAAAAGATAATTCTGAAATGTGGTTTTGGAGGAAATTACTGAATGTATATTAAGAAACACAAAAGAAGCAACAACTATTTTGAAAGAAGTGAAGTCTAAATGCTCTTTAGAAGCCAGAGCCCTCGAACAAAATCTCTCATTCTTTGGACACATTGCAAGGAGATTGAACTCATTGGAGGTCACAATGATACAAATAATCGACAGATCTAGAAGACAAAGAATGAGTTGGCATGAAAAAATGAAAAACAACAACTTGACTAGAATAGAAGCAATGACTGTGGCGGAAGCCAGAATAAGATGAAGAAATTTTACTCAGGGGAGATGATAGCAAAAAGGAAAAAAAAATTGACGAGGAGGTTGGCAACCAATGGCTTTGAATATCCACTTAAAAGAACACCAAGCATTGCATGCAATGTGTGTATTACTATTAAAGCAGGGTAATTAAAAAGAATAATGAAAAAGAATATACATAACAAATTAAAAACTAATATTAAATAATAACAATTTTCGTACTTTACTGGTGAAAATATCTGCTCCCACAGCCATGGCTGAATCTGCCAAAGCTTTTGTAACTGCACCCATACCTCCTTCAGGATAACCCCAAGCACCACGAACACCATCCAATTCACCCATTAGGTGATGCAGTAGTACATATCTTAAGAAAAGAGCATTAAAAATTAATATAACAATGAATTTAAAATGAAACAATTTTATTCTCTACTTTAACCCATGGATGAACAAAAAAAAGGCAATATGCTATGTAATAAAACAACCATGTTACTGCTTGTAGAAAAAAGGAGAAATGTGCGGAATTTAAAACTATTCTCATTTCTGGTTATTGTTTCTCCTATTTTCTATATATCACAGTCTACATCTATGAAGAATATTCTATTTGCACAAGAGACATTTTTTTTGTCATCATGTATCTGAAGTGGCAACTAGTTTGGCTTGAGGTAGGTATGACCACTCTTGTTCAATCAGCTAAAAATATAAAATTTCAATATGATGTTCCTCACCATGGAGTAAATAATTTATTTTTCTACATAGTGTCATCTGTTACTCCAGTATCACAATACTTAATGTTTACAATATAAAATGTAATAATTGACATGAGTCTTTTAAAACATCTTGTCAACACAAAAGTATGCCGAAATAGCTCAATGCAATGAACTCGATGTTTAATATGACAATTTACTGATAACATAACAACCTATGAGGTTTATAAGAAAACAGAACGGGTATTTTACCACGTTCTTCAGAGAGGGGAGAGCAAGCAGGTTCTTCTGGTTCCTTCAAAGAGTGCTGGTATGCATGCACCCACCTGTACATGGTTGAGGTACTATTACACTTAATTACACATGGGTAGGAGGGTCATAGTTTAGTGTTACATAATAATGCCATGTGACATTGACAGTGGCATATGCATAGTTTGTATTCAGAAATGTTTGTGCCTATGTGTCCTTCCTTCAAAAATTCTTCCCCTCTCCTCTGACTTCAATCATCACAAATTTTAATAAAAAACACAAATAAAAATAATACAACTTATTGTTACCGTTTAATAATTTACTTTTACTTACTAAAAGGGGGGAGAGTCTAGTCACAGGCATTATATAATTGTTTAGGAGGGTTCAAGCATTTGTTCTAGGTGCATTATAGACAGGAGAGGCAGTGTTCAAAAATACTCCAAATTTACCTTATGTAATTTACAGATGGTCCCTAAATTTATAGCATTAAAAATCTTGTCTCTAAAATATCTTGTCAGTGAATTAATATTCTTCTCGAAAAATTTGCCAAGACAAACTTTCCAGTGCATTTCATCTTGTATTTTTCAATAAGCTTCATTATTGCATGAAATAGTGAATAAAAACAATCATTACAAAGACATTTACATAGAATTACATACCCAGTTCCTGGCATGTCTGGAGTTGCCATAAATCCAATTACAGAATCAGTTGCCAATGTTGCAATTAATGGTTCAGAATTGAACCATCGTTTGAGAATTTGGCTACTAGGTGTAGTGAGAAATTCATATAATGCCAACATATCAGTTCCCAACTTCATGAAATCGTAGACTGAAATAGAGAAGTAAACTCAAGAAGAAAATTTCAAAAAGTTTGGGAAAAGAACGATATGTTTAAATAACCAACTATTATTCATCCATTACATTTCTACAGTAACAACCAAAAGTAAGTGGTATTCATATATGGTTGTAAAATACATTAGATGACAACCTACTCCTGCTGGTATAATTTTCTTGAAGCAGGATATACTGGCAAATGATTTTAAAAGTAAAAAATTTAATTTTTTTATACCATCATGCTGTGCTACTTTATGAATCAAAAGTTCCTCCTCAAGAATATTCCAGTTACAACTAACCAGCTGGTCTCATTCGTGGGTTACTAGCAATTCTTCTTACTTTCCCCCATATTGTGGGCATTGCTAAGATTTCTACTACATCTGATGGTGGTAAATCAATCAATACATCCAAAGCTTTAACAAGTCTCTCCATTAATTGTTCATATTCTTTAAATGCCTGAAAAATCAATAACCATCATTATATTGTTTCAGTTTTGCTCTATACAATAAAAAGGATAAATTGAATGCATTCTGCTTTATACAAATGTAAGTAATTCTTTTAAGAAATTTGTTTCCTTTCAACACTGTTTTTTTATATTTCACATATTATGAATTATATTTTGTCTATTATTATAGTATTTTTCGAAACCTAAAATAGATTGACCGAAATAAGAGACCAATCAAATTTAAAACCTCTAAGTTAATTAATTCTATAAAGGAACTGCACACAAGTACAATAGACTCCATTTATAGTGAACTCTTGGTCATAGTGAACTTAAGTCACTGGTCCCGTTTCACTTACATTGCAAATAAGCATAAGAAGATTCGATGAACCTGAACCTTGACTATAGGAACATAGGAAATATATACTGGAAATTAATTCCCTCCTTGAAAATAATATATCGCCACTGTGCCACAAATTCCAACACTAGGCTGCCAAAAAAAACTATCATCAGCCTTTTTTTATTTTTTTATTTTTATTAAAAATAATGAAATAATAATAAATTAATGTGAGAATAAGTACAGCATGTTAGTTGAACTATTCTCATTTCTGACAGAATCAGAAATATTGAAATGCAATGAAATAAACAATAATTTGTAATTATTCTAAAAATAATGATGACGATGATGATTACAACTGTGATAATGATGAATACAATGTTGGATTTTTAGATTACCTGCACATCCTTTTCTGAAAACTGTCCAATCTGTTGAACATTCAATGCCATATCTCTTCCTAATGTAAGAGATCTTGGTTTTCCATTTTTCCATTCAGATGATCTCAGAGGAGTGTAAGAACTAGGATCTCGTTTATACACCTTTAAACCATATCTCTGAACAAGAAACGTAAATTACTTTTTTTCTAAATAAATATAATGCATTTATTCTATATAATATTATAAATATATAGCATTACAATATTATTGCATCTTATCTTAGTAATGAACTGACAAATCACATCTTCGATTACAATATATTTCTATTTCATCTATAATTACTTTTCATAACCTGTTTAATCCATTGACTGGAATAAATACACACATGAACCGTAGCATTTCACAATAACTGATTTTGTCCTATGTTCATTACTGAATGGTTATCATCCAAATTAATCAAATCCTTTAATCACCAAAACCTGTTACTTCACATTACTGATTCGCAATAATATAAATTCACAAATTATAACCAGTAGAATAAAATATTCAATTTCAAAACTTATAAAATCAAAGAAACAATAAATTTACTTATATTGTGAATTTCAAGCACCCTTGCCTTTAAGTCCAAGTCATTGATGATCTGTGGTCTAAGTAAACTTAAAACATATGAAGCCCTGGAGAATTTAAAGCCAGGTATTATTTCTTCTGTTACTGCAGCCCCTCCCACTATTGATCTTCTCTCAAAGACACACACATCTACACCAGCACGTTGCAAGTATCCTGCACTCACCAAGCCATTGTGACCTATTTGCAATTGGATGTAACAGTACATTTTAATCTATACCATAAACATATTATCCAACAATTCAAATATTTAGAACTGCATCATTGGCCATTATTATTAATAAGAGCATTATTAAAACATTTAATATTTAATTATTTCGACTGAAAGAATTTTTTTTTTTCAATTTATATATTCAGGTGTACAGTAATGTACCTAACCTAATTCATTTACATAATAAATTATAATTTATTTCTCATATACAACAATTTATACAGGTGTTTGTCAATATTCAAAATGCACATGAAAATAAAACTAAGAACATAAAATTTTGTTAAACATAACATCTATATTAAAAGATTTTGATATAATTCCTACCTCCCCCTATAACAATTGCACCATACTTTTTTTTCATGTGCACATTATTGCAATAACCCCTACTATTTGTTAAATACTTGGAAAGATTGCCTAATTTCATCTTCCAACTTCAGAGGAAATATTCAATGATGGTGACTTATACCAATGACTCACTAATCTCAAATAAATGTGATAAGGGGACTTGGCAATGATCCAAAAATTTCAATAGAAGAAGAGAGTAAGCCTAAACAACTTTTGCACCAGTACATAAATTTAAATTACACAGTACATAGAGTTAAAAAAAAACTAGGATACAACTGAAGTGATTCAGTTCAAGTTCATATAGAGTCTTAGGAATTTGTTTTCATGCCCACAGTACACCAAATCATTCTGCCTCATACAAGTTCACAGAAATTTATTTTCAGGAGAACAACACTTAACATATTCTAATAATAAATATTTTCACCTTGTTCACAAATTATTGGCATCCATCAATGTACCTTATATTTTGTCTCACATATTACACATACATTATTTTCAGAATTGATTAGATGTTACATTCAAGAGTTATTAAGTTATTATTTGTGAAACATTAATTCCAAACACCTCTAACCATCATTATGCATTTTCAATGATGCATAACAACTTGGCAGGAAATTTAAAAAGAAATTCTTATTACAGAGAGGGTGGAGAATTTCTTCTGCAAGTGTGCTCTTGCCAATCAATAAATAATTTAAACTTTTTTATCCTATTTCATCTCAGCTATGACTTGAGACAATAAAAATACATTAAATTTGAATATTGACTTTCAAATTATTGATAAAATAGATTTTTCATCATACAGTGAAGACTTTCTCTAACAAACTTATTTATAACTAAAATTTCCCTATAATACACACATTTGGCATACTCTTAAGCATACATTGATACACTCCACTTAATGAAAATTTCATATTGAAAAAAAGTGTTTATTCCTTAGAGTTTTGACATAAATATTTTGCACAGCACAAACACTGTAAAGATGATACAGTATTCTGAAACATTATTTTGGCATTTCTAATGCATATATCATTCCAATAGTATTTGATGAAGTACTCAATAATTATTAAATACTACAATTCCTAAACTCAAATATACTTTTTAGAATAAATTAAACTAATAAATTAGAACACAAGGAAATTAAAATAAATTAATGTTATTGTTTTCTTTAATAAATACTTCTCATTCTTTTTCAAGCAATATTTTCATGTTTGCTGACGGTTATGCTGTTACTTGAAATGTGTATTTTCGGAAGAAATTACATACACCAGAAACCAATTACTACAAATTATTTCCCGAGTTTTTTTTATAATAGTATTTCATAAATGCTTGAAAGCCCTGAATATTTCCAGTAACTGTGAACATTTTAGATCATATATTAACTTTATTTTTCAGCACAATAAATTAGCAAAGAAATTCAAGTTACTCATCTTAATAAAAAATAAGAATTAATAAAGGCTTGTTTGCCTCATGATTAAATTTAATATTTTAAATACTAAAAGAAATCAATAAGTTTGTTGAAATAATTTAAAGATAAAGAAACCTTAATTTGCATAAAAACCATTACTTCCAAATAAAGTATGTAATATATTGAAGGAGATTTTATTTCTCTCACATACCAAAACACACTAAAATAAGAAGGAAAAGGTAAGTTAATATAAGTATTATTACAGAGATCCTCAATGTTGTCTTGATGTTTCTTTACCATACATCACTTGCATGATGAAATACAGAATTAGAAGGGAAAACTAACTTACTTTATTACTAGGCCACTTTTCCATTAGGCTGCACCACCTTTAGAGCAAGTAAGAGAAAGTAAGCAGTAAGAGAAAATTATGGACAGACAAAGCTGATTTTCCAATTTACAAAAAAAGGGCATCATTTTAAGAACAAAAATTCTTGAAATATATCTACTATGATTAGAATATTTAATCCAATTACAATAATTTCTAAAATCACTTCTAAATTATTAAATATTTAGTATTCATCATGCCCTTTCATTTTCTAATGAGAAAAGAGACACAAATTCAACAAAGAATTCAAAGCATCTATTAAATAAGAAAATAAGCATCTATCTCGTATTTGTATGCAAGAGTCCTATTGTAAAGTTGATCCACTGCCTTAACTTTGTTTGGAAATAATTAGTAGTTTTTGATGGCTTAGCAACTATCCTTTGACATCTGGGAATCAAATCACCTTACAATAAAATTTTGATTACTACATAACAGTCCTGATTATGGTAGTTAAGTCATCAATAGATGCATCCAAGAAAAAATTCAAAATTTCTAGTAGCAAAAATGGTACAGCAGAACTTTCATAATCTGAATTAAATGAGAATAGTAACAGTTTGGATACAAAGAAATTCGGATAATTGAGTAAAGCGGAGAGATATTAAGTAAAACAACTGGATGCAAATAACTCCTATAACTAAAGTTTATAAAATTATGTTAAACAACCATAAGACGTGGGACACTGAAAATATTATAATATTTACATTAAAAAGTAAGTTTTTTATCCCAAAATCGATTTGGATAACTGGAGTCCAACATATATATTAGATGTCTCATTCTCACATCATTAAAAAAAATGAATGTAATATATAAATTAAATAAATTCAATTAAAAAGTTGCCTCCTTAAATATATTCTGAAGCCAATATTAGAAAGAAGAAAAACATCTTCAAGTGTCTGAAATATGTTTTGATATGAAACTCATTAAAATAAGTTCTAATAAATATTTCAAAGTTGTTAAATACTTTCGGAGATATTTCTTTGGTACTGACAGCTAGCAAGTGGTGAATTGTTGTCTTATACACTAGCTCTCGCATATATCCGCAAGTTAGCTGTTCAGTAAGATGGCTTTATTGGTAAATTTAATAATCATTTATGGTGTATAAGCACTCATATTCATTTGAACTCTCTTGAACTTTGGCAAGCAGGGGTGGCGATAACTGATACCCTGCATCAGCCTGTAGACTGCCGTCACGATAGAAACATAGTCATCACTCAACTGTCAATCCTAAAATTCCATCCCCACAGCATAGTATTAATGTTATTAAGCCAATACAGAGCAAATAAGGACATGGTTGAAATTTGTACACCAAAGCATGAGCCAAGTTTTATAAGCAACATTACTTGTGTTATTGGCTAGTCATTTCAGTACTTTTCTTAATACCACCTTTTGAAAAAATTCACATAAAAAAAATTACTTTGCTTTGAAGACTCATACATTACTCTTACTCCTTCATTATTCGTAAAGGATAACAGCCACACAATCCTTCAATTACAATCTTACAGACTTATAATCATCATGGATGCTGACCATTAAGAGGATTCTCATTCCTCAGTTTGGTTGTGTTATGTTGATATAACATGGCAGTATCATGAGAAGATACAATTTTTTAGTTAAATAGCAGGTTTCTATGAACTTTTAGTCAATTAATGTGTGGAACTGTGATTATAAATGAAAAGGAAAGTTTTAATATAATGATAATTATTTTACCAATTATTTTACAGTGTTAAAATTGTAAGTCATTTATTTTTTTCATTATTATGAAATTAAACCAGTACATATTCATCAGGGTAGGCAAGGCCTGCCTTGCCTACCACAAGGAGCCGCCACTGCATTAATACTAATAGTGCATTTATGTTGTTGAGTATGTAGTTATTGATCAAATAACATTGTCAGATATAGAACTGGAAATACGAAACTACAGGTCATGAATTTAAAAAATAGCAAAGACTTACAACATGAAAATTGCCATGATGAAAACCAAAGCAATGGCCTTCCAAAGAAAGAAGCTAAGAGACGTGAAGTTTATCAGTGAAGCAAATTTTAAGACCAGAATCAACATATCAATATTTAGGCAACAATATTACACAACTTTCTCAAGACTTGCAACACAAAATATTGACACACTAACATGTCATTCGGCTGATCACACAAGCTTTGAGCACAGTCCTTCATACCATTTTGACAAATCCCCAGGGACTTCTCTGCCAGCGACATAGATCAATCCAGGGGGGACTCCCCATAATTGACATTGACAGATGAATCTGTGAATTCCCCTGCAGGATATGACAAATGAAAGGAGAAAGTACAGGAAGAGGCAGGAGCGGATACAGATAATCATTTTGGAGAGGGCCATTGTAGATTTTTGTTAAATAATAAACATATTTGTCACTCTATTTTATATTACGTACTGTAGATAAATAATTACATAATTCAAACATTAACAAATATTTAAATCAATTTTGCCAAATAAAGGAAGGTAACCGAAAACTCTAAGCGTTTTTGGGGGTAGGGGCATCCCCCCCCCCTGGATCCGTCAGTGGGAAGAGGCGTGTATGACGCAAAATATTCTGGGCAATCCACCAGCCAATTTCCAGGATTCACCTTGTATGTAACTACATCGACAATTAATACCAACTCTACGAGACGAGGACCAATCACACTGAAGAGACAGAACAACGAGTGTTGTGCGGTGAGGGAGAATAGTGCATGTGAATATCGGAGAGATGAACAGACAGAAGCACGGCAGAAGGTTTCAGATGCTCAAAGGGCTGGACGTGTAGCAGTTGGTTTTTTGGAGATATTCAGACTCTCAGAGGAGTAGGGAGTGCAGGAGGTTTTAAAGGCTCTGAAGAGTGGAGGTTTCAGACGCTCGGAGGAGCTAGAGGCACGGCCGAAAGTGTTAGTAGTTTTCAGAATCGGAGGAGTAGGACGAGAAGGTGTTAGAGGTTTGGAGGGGCCAGACGTGAGGGAGAACGTTTTAGACTCGGGACCATATACGTGAGGTGAAAATAGCTCCTAGTGATAGACACTTTTGAGAGTTCGAGACATCGCGTAATGATGTGGGGCGAGCTGCATGAACTAATATACCAGGAACAACAATGCATAAGTAATGTATTGAACAGTGAGTGCAGGCGGTGGCAGCAGTGTGCAGTCGGGGGCGCCAGTGCCGACAAGCATCCCACCGAGCGCAAGGGTGCTGCCCAGCTGTAAAGGGCATTGACCTCTGTAGCTCCTCCAGACTACGTTAACTAGTGGTGTCTGCACCCATTGCGGGCAACAAACTATTGCGATAAATAAATGTGCTCTCATCACATCCCATGATATCATTTCGAAGCCAGGTAAACCCCCCTACATTTCCCTAGACAACAGTGCCAATGCTAAAACGTCTCACCCCCTGCACCCGCGCATGCAAAAAAAATTACAAATGTGAAAGCCTTCCTTATAAGAGATAACTATAATTTACCATTTAAGGTAAAAAAATAATTGAAAATTTTATGAAATATAAAACTACTGTACCATGACTTATAAAATTACGATATAGATTTTCTCAAGTTCTATTTTCTTTTTAAACTTGTTTTCCTCTTCCTTGACTTACGGGGTCCTGGGCGATTGCCCAGCCTGCCTATGCCTTTCCTGGTACCCCCCGACCCAACCCAGGGTTCAAAAGGCAGCAGTTGCAACTGGCAATAGAACTGGGTCCAGAAGTCGGTGGTTGCAATACAATAGAAATACATTTTAAATGAAACACAGAAAACCAAATTAAGAATCTAGATTATCACAGTCAGGCCAATGCTTTTACAAAGCTCAGAAATCTGGATTCTGAAACAGAAGAATAATCAAAGTCTGGAAGCAGCTCAAATGAGATTGCTTAGATATCCCCTTAGTTACACCAGGATTGTCCGACTGGTGACAAGCGAAAGATAAAACGAGGAGTCCCTTTCATCAATGTTTTGCAAGAAAATTGTTCGCCGACATGTTACCAGGGTTAACATCTCCTTAATGAAAAAATAGGTTAGGTTTAGATTTAAGGATTTTTCTAGTAAATTCAGAAATTCAAAATCATCCCAATGTGTTTCACTGCATTATGCATGCTACGGATTGATATTACATACAGTTCCACCCCCACCCCCATTTTCAGAACAGCCAAGCAAACTGCCAAGATTAACAATTCGGGGAAATAATGGGTTGATTGCTTGAGTAATAAAAATATGGCCTGCAACCATATTAAAGGTTTTAGTTTGGCCCTTGAGGTCTTATAAGTTGAACATTCCTATACTAAACTGACCAACAAAGAAACGAACTCATCAGGAAAAAACCCTTAAATTAACAAATATAACAGAGAAAGATAAAAGATCAGAAGAGAAGAGAGAATTAAAAGAGCACAAGAAAGAAAATTCTAAAAGGTTGTTCTAAAATACAAACCAATGGGGCAGAGAAATAGAAATAAAATGGATCATGCAGGAACACATGGGAGCTGAATAACATGTTTTTCAGATCTACTGAATAACCAGGAACAGGTCTAAGACCTTTCTTCATGCAGTATATGATGATAATGATAATGTTTTTTAATTCCTTGATACATTTACTGCTCAAAATTCGGGTCTGGTGGACATCATAGTGTTTCTTATGAATTTTCAGTGGACTACAGTTTGAAGACAACTACTTAACACATTAGATCTCTTCTGTATGGCAGCATGTTACAAAATTAGAATTGAAAAGATATGTGTGAATCCACTGTGATGGATCTTACTGAGAAGGATAATCAAAAACATTTGGACTAATAAATAATTTATCACATAGTAAATTCCATTTAAAAACAAATAAAAATGTATGAAAAAAGCACTTCAGGTTTTTACAATACACATCAAAACATTCACTGAAAGTAATCAGTATCATGAATCATTAAAAGAAAGTGTTATGCATCATTCCTTTTACCAAAGCTCTTTCAATGTTAATTTGTAATCTGAAAGTTTGCAAGCAATCGGATCTGGTTAATTGAAAGAGCAGATGAACATTTCCTAACAAGAAGCATTTAACCTCCTCAGAAGTGTCAAACATTTTATGGAGTATATCAGCTTTTGAATTCTAAAAGAGTACAATAAATTGTTGTTTTTTTTTAAACAAAGCACAGCTCTAATTTAATAAGAAGTTCATTTAAATGTTCGCAATTGCTAAACATTTACCTTGCATTTAGGACATTGTAATACTCAAAAGTATTACTTACAATTGTATATATAAATTTTAAATAAAACATTAAGCCTTCAAAAGAAGGCAGAAAAATGAAAGAAAGAAAGCTCAGATGTTTTCCTTGTAAATTAAGTAGCAAACTTCTTTACTGTACAGAATTTACATCATCACTGACTTTCAAAGTATGTTTTTATTCTAATAAAACACTATTTGTAAAGGCACTTCACTGAGATTCAATAAAACAGATGTCCAAGACACAGAATCGGCTACGGCATAAAGGACAAGTACATTTCATTGACATCCATGTTTCTGTTCGCTGAGGATCTTGACGGGATGCAAACCTGAAACATGGATTGACAAAAATAATCTAAATAGAATAAAATGTACTAAAAACAATTGGTACTAAAACAAAAAAAAAACAAAACAAAAAAAAAAAAAATTTACATATTGGAAAAAGTTTAGTGACCTTCCCATCATTTTATGCACATATTTTTCAGTAACTACTGTTGAAGCACTTAATCAAAGAAATATTTTATTTTAAAAGTACTTAGTGAGAAGATGTGAGAATTCTATAAAAGATATACTACTGAAAAATGTATACTGAACTTCCTTGATCAATTACTCTATTACTTTCTTTAAACTAGAGGAGCTAAAACAGCACGTACTTTCTTGCCTGTACTTTCATGCCAAACTACACAAAAAGTACTCAAATATTCGAAAAATTGTACATGACTTTATTTCAATGTATATCTTTAAGGAACAGATTTCATAAAGAGAAAAAATCTCTGTCTTCATAATTGCAGTTGGAGGAAGATGGCGAAAAAAGGTTGAAATTTTCCAATTCTTGAAAAATCAGGGTTTTCAATGAAAATGAGACCTGAATCGTTCCCTTAAACATTCTTCACATTACAGAACAACAAAATGTAATCAAAAACAATAGAGCAATTTTTTTGAAAATTTGAAAATGTCCCAAGGGCTTCATGTTAAGTACCTACCAAAATTAAATATCGCTTTCAAATTCAGGGGCTACGACATCAGTCAGATGTCCAGGAATGTCAATTTTGGAGAAAAACAGCTGAATGGCTTAGCCACTAGCGTTGTTCACAGAAGGACAGACATTTGGCTCAATTTTTCAGTATTAAGGACCCACAAAACATAGATTCTGGCTACATCATGAGTTAGAGATTTTTTTTCTTAATTTAACAACTGGATTTATCCACTTTTTCTTTACTAGGGCCCTGTATTAAGAGTTTTTCTGCCAAATATTAACCTTTTTTTCACGTAGCATTAATAGCATAACTTTCTCTCTACTGTGTAAGCAGTAGCAAGACACTAAAAAAGGAACACATACTCAAATGCAGGCAAAAATCTCTAAATTGATATTTGACAACCAAACGTTAGTACACTTTATAATCCATTCCATCATTACTTAAAAACCCTGTTCACTAAATTTTTGAACATTAACCAAGAATCAAATATACACAATATAATTCAATATACCTGGAGTGAACAAGTATTGCTATCATACACTTACCACTTGCCCATACAATCAACACACCACATAGGCCGACAATAACAATTTGTGCATGGCTCTTCTCCAAGTACTGTTTCTCCACAGGTACGGAGGAGTTTAACATTAGCTGTACACTGCATACAGCCGATGCAAGGCTCCAGCTCCTGTGTCTCACAAACAAAACAGTTATTTGTCAAATGCATACGAAAAAGTTACCTCTGAACAATGAAATATATTTCATTGAGCATTCTACAAATTGCAACACACAAAATATACTTCAGTGAAAAGTTGATATCAATAAACACAGATAAATGCACTCTATCATGCAGATTAACTTTCTTAGGAACCCAGAATAAAAGAACTTTATACTCCTAAGTTTTCTATTTGCTTATCTGTCTAAAATTTTCTTTCGTTATTTAATTATTTTTAATGAATTTTCAAATTTCATTCCCTAAAGATATATTTTCACTTGTTAAGGCTGTTATAACTAATCTTCTATATTCACTAACCCATCTCAGGACTCTAGGTTTAACAGCTAAAACCTCTTGATGGTACTGTCTCAACAAATACTACAAATAACCTACCTAAACAAAGCAACATCTCAAACAAATCAATCCTCTGACATACAGAAAATTACACATTTCCAAAGAATTATATATCTGCAGTTACAAATTTGGAAAAAAAAAAAAAATATACAGAAAATATCTCACCTCATTAGTTCGATAAACAGGATTATCTGCAACTTGTTCTCGAAAGGCTTCTAAAAACCGGTCAATGACTGTACGGTGAAACGTCACATTTTGCAAGACTACAATGGGTCGACTCAGTTTATCCTGTAGGTCCCGGAAGTCCAAAGCGTCTAATCTGAGATACAATGAAAATCATTAGAAATTATACATCTTTAATTCATGATCAAAAATATGTTATTTTGTTTGCATATTCAATACTCAAGCAACCCAGAGAGTTCAAATATCCAAATCTAAGTATTTAAGTCTGAGAATCACAATCTATAAGTAAATTTTAAAAAACAATAGAATTAATATTATAAATCCTTGTAAATACACAATACACATCAAACATTTTTTTGTGACTGAATTAGTCACAAGTGTACTTTTCTATACCTTATTGTAAATCCTTTAACACCAGCTCTAGTTGGTTTCACTTCAATATTCAGGTACTGTACAGTGCCTGGTCCTGATGGTGTCAAATGATGAGTGTCACTGCTGATGAGCACTAATGCTGAATCACTTTGGTGAGCGCACTGAACAGTGTATGGAGAAACCTTCAAAACCCAGTTATCAGTTGCAATAACTTTGACTACAGAATTAGTATTCACACAAAATTTATCTATTCTTCTAAACTCAATGTTTATATCTGAAGCAACTACTTCCCAACTGTCATTACCATTTGCATACAATTTAAGAGTTTTCACAATAGGATGTCTTCTCCAATTTTCTTTCCACCACAAATACATTGCAATGAGAGTTACTACAGGAATAACGATTGAAACAATTACAAATAAAGTCCACAAGTACCCTGCATTGCTGAATATTGACCAAGGATCTGCAAATCCAAGGAAGCACAGGCCAAAAAGATATCCTGTAAAAATTGTCAACATTTTTGTTAAATTTCATTCTCAATTAATCACTACAAATACTATTAATAACTAACTTCTTATGGAAGCAGTGGTTTACAATAAATTCTATTAATCTTACCAAAAGGAAGGAGGGAGTGAATTAGTATTGTTACAACTGTTCTGCGAATATGATAAAGAATAAAATTTTCATGTTCACTTCCAAGGGCATTTTCAAACAGATTTTGAATTGTAAATCCCGCTGATACGAACTCACTGCTAGGAAATACAAAACAGACAGCAATCAAAACGTAGAACACAGTGTACAGCAAAGAAGGTGATGACATTTTGGCATCGAAATTTCTTCAACAAAGAACTTGCATGTTCTACTCCATCGCATTGCTAAAAGCACAAATTATTGGAGGCAAATTTCGCGATTATTTTTTCTTTTAATTGGGTCAAAATTTTCTTTCACATAACCTAAAATCGCAAGATTGCGCACTGTACTGCTACTGCTGTCACCAAAAATCGAACAACTGATAGGTCGTTGAACGACCGTCGTACACTGAACGATGCTCCAAGAGCTACCGAGAGTGTTAAAATAATGATTCTTCACCTACACCATTGTACCCATGGTGTAAAAAATATTCTCTTACATCGAAGTTATACTACGGTAAGACAGGCAACCGCGGTGTATAAAAACAATTGATTTTTTCATTAAAAGGAAATGAACTAGCAGAAACGTGTGTGGAAATTATTATTACTTGAAAGGAACCAATACATAATTAACAATATCAAAATAAAAATTTGAAGTAAGAAGCGGGATATTTGGAAAGAATTGAATTACAAATTTACTATTTTTTTTGTTATTCGTACATTATTTACAAATGAATTTATTAATTGCCAATGCTATTATAATTATTTGACCATTCTCTATTTATTCATAATTAAATTAAGTATAACAATTAAAGCAAAAGAGTTTCAGAGTTCTGTGCGAAAAATGTTCGTCTGGCCAGAAACGAGTACCTTCATGGTATTATATTGCATTTTTTCAAACTTTGCCCCTGGCAGGTATTAGCTATTCAGTTTCATCCAATCGAAAGCGAAAACGTCACCATAGTGACGTCACTGATGAGGTTTAAGCTCCTGATTGGATGAAACCTAACAGCTGATACCTTCCAGGAGCAATATTCGTATTCCAAATCACAGTATTCGTACTTTGGCCACTACGGCTATTCCGAGCTATCAGCATAGACTAAGGAGGCATATATTATTTATTACTCTATGCTGTCAGAAAAAAAATTGGCAAAGGAGTTCGATCCAAATGGGTGCGAAGACCCCCTAAAGGCGCGTCGGCACGATGTGTCTTTTCTGTGCGTCACGGAAATAAAATTTCATGCGCAAAGTTGAAAGATTGAAGTTGAAAGACACCTTAAATTAACACAATCCATGGATGAATAATATGATAATGAATAACGTATAGTAGTGTTAATCTATAGACGAACGTTCAACACAGCGCACGTGTTCTACTCTGTCCACACTGTGCGGTGCTTTAGTTTTGTCCTGTACAGTATATCCAGCAATTTGCGCTAACATATTCTTTGGAGGAGGCGCACGAGAAAACGAATTATATTCCCACCATCTCTGGGAAAGCTTGTGCTACTGCATGCGTCCATCGTTTTGACTAAAGGGCGCATGCCCAAAACGCATGAACTACGTGCGCTAGACGCATGCGCAAAATTGAAGACGTATCGTGTGAAGGTAGACGGCCGCCTTCGGGATGATCTCTAACACCCCGGGATGTGGTGAAATTGGCGTTGGTAGATTGTATTTTCTCCAATAAGTCAGATACATTTTCTGTTTTACATTAAATAAATAAGTATTGAAATGAAAGAAGTTATTTATATCTCATTAGGTTATTCCAACTTGTTAAATATATGATTTACGATTACGGTGACGAAACAAAAATGTCATTCAAAATTGCACATTTAATTTAAACAAGAAATGGGACATGCGCAACTGATCTCAGAGTAAGATCCTCGGCCTCAATTTGTGGCACATCATGATGGACAGAAATATATAGTTTACGTCACCACTTGTCGAACATAACCTCAACTCTACCTCACGTCAATAATAACCGCAACTCGACCACGTGTTGACCATAACCTGTATGTGACCACATTCCGTATCAGTTACAACCCGAACGGCACCACGTGGCGTTCATAGCCTCAACGCGATCACGTGTCGATAAGTACCTCCCCGTGCCGTACTGCTTAAGACCCTAAAGCGACCACGCGCGCGTCTCGCGAACAAAGACCAGCGCCGCGCAGGTTAGAGAAATAGCACATCGCCCATCCTAGATATGGATCAAAACGTATCGCCGGACCTTCTACAGACGCTATCTCAGATGATCGCCAGTGCTATCCGACAGTCTACAGCGTCGACCCAAAACCACGCATCAACGGCAGCGGCACCGGCACAGCCTCGTCCTCCACAGTTTTCCATGTCAGCATATCGCGCCGCCGACGGAACAACCATAGCACACTATTTTACATGGTTCACCTGAGCGCTGGAGCTGAGCTGAGTTCCCTAAAATGAACACTCACACTACGCACGTGTTTATATGCAGCCTGAACTCAACGACTCTCTGGAGATCCCCGTAAGCCCAGAAAACCTGGTAAAATCTATCTTACAGTGAGATCCAGTCGAAATTGACGGAACATTTCGACGCCACACACAATAAATACGCTGAAAGCATCAAGTTTAGAAGCACAATGCAAAGGAGTGGTCAATAGCCAGCTTCATTCTTAGATTAAGACAAGCAGCAACTTACTGTGAGTAAGGCACATTTTTAGACCGAATGCTAATTGAACAATTGATCACAGGACTGGAATCGAGGGATATGTGCGATGAAATCATCGCTAAGAAACCAGAGAGCTTCACTGCAGCGTGCGAGATTGCCCACCATCGCCAACGAAGTCAAAGCTGACGACATAACATTAAAACCCGATTCGACTCATCGAATATGTTATGAGAAGCCACCGTTACGGAGCAACAACCAACGGCCCCCGAGTTGGTCAACAAGCCGGCGACAGAGCGGTAACCAATCACGGCCACAACGAGGTTTTCAACAACCAAATCAGACATCAGAGAATCAGCCAACGTGCGCGGGATGTGGTGGAGATAACTTCCGCAGTCAATGACGGTTTTTTGATGCTGAATGTCGGAAATGTGGTAAGAAAGGCCACATTGCCAAAGATTGTCTATACAAACCGAGACAACGGACAACTAATCAGGTAACTGAAGAGGCCGCAGAAGAATTACCAGCGACTGCAGCGACACTGTATACTCGGAGGATTGAAAGTTATTGGAAGTTCAGTCCCAGGAGGCAATTGATCGACATCAGTATTGAGGGAACCACGTTAATGAATGAATTGACGGCGCCCCTGTCGTTTCATTGAGCAATCGAAGTTAAGTCTACATTACGAAACTTATCTCGCAAAAACGAGCGCTCTTCGCATTTACACGCACCGCATCAACTGCAGTCGGTATACGTTAGTCACCAGCACCATCGGGAATGAATCCAGTAACCTTAACCTATGTGTCTCACGGCTGATTTGAAAGCTGTACTGGTATGAGATGGAATTTCTGAGTTTGGCGGGAGATCTTTTGTACGCATTTTTACCAAACAGAATCAAATCCTACGGTACCTCGTCTCACCGAGCCATTCTATCCGCGGACAAAAAAGGAACTCGACGCAACCATCGATCGTTTCAAGATGTTTTCACGATCTCCGCAGAAGTATCTAGGCCCACAAGCCAAGATTGCACATGAAGCGGGTGCCCAGGCCATCTTTGCTCGAGCTCGAGACGTCCCGTGACCCGCGTGAGCTACGCAAAGAAGAGCGCCAAGTCGCATCCGGGATTTACAAGAGAGTCAAGTCCTAAATGGGCATACTACAAACGCATGTAGTTGCCAAAGAAAGCAAATTGAGAATCACGATAACTAACACACAACCTCAATCAAGAATTTATCATCGACGACACTCCAATCCAAAGGTAGAAAACTTGTTACGGGATGGAGGGACCACCTCTTTTGCAACTCTAGATTGTCACTGAGCATACACACACTTGGAAGTTGACGACGACGAGTCCCACGCCTCACTTCAACACTCCAACTCATGCTCGATGCGTCCAACCCGTACTGTCTAAGGTGCAGCTAATATTCCTGCTACTGGCGCGGCGTATGGACACCAATAGAAGGTCTCGAAAATGTAATTTGACTTGATGACACTTATGTTTTGGAGCCAATTTTGAAAAGACTCATTGCGACCTCAGCGGAACACACTGGAGCTTTTTCGCCATACATGTTCTCAAACTGAACCGAGCAAGTGATATTGCAGATAGGAATGGAAATGGATGTCCTGGAAGTCTTTCATACTCTGGAGATGCCCTTGGCCCAAGGATCGATGCGCGTGGCATCCATAACGGATACGCACATCCGAGCTGTCCGAGATGCGCCGAAACTAACAACTCCGGAGGAACTGCAAGCTGCTTCTGGGGAAAGAAACCGAATTTATAGCGCATTCATTCCAGATTATCACCACATTAGGTACTGCTGATGAGCCCCTCGGTGGATTCCAGCGGCTAAAAGGGTTTATAAAGACTGAAGGATGCACTGACTCAGCCCAGGTACTTCTCTTCTCTCCTGCAGTAATGACGCCGTGACGGGTCATACTGGCACTACTATGCCCTTATTGGCAACCACGCAGAAAAACTGACTGGGCAGTAGACTGTAGACGACTCAGCAAGTCGAGCACGCCCATCGCTATGCCAGTCGGAACAATGTAGCAAACTTGAACAGAGATAGCCTCAAATGTGACAAGAGAAGACTTGCACTTGTATGGGCATGAACAAAAGTTCTCAAATATCTGTACGGCCCGCATCACCTGAATACACCAAAGGTAGGTGATTGCCGCTGAACAGATCTTCATTCCAGAAAATATCCAGTGCTGTGCATCAGCTCGCATGGCCAATTATGGAATATTTAAGCCACACCTTTGACTATGACGTTCTCTTCAAGAAGTCAAAAGCCAATGCAAATGCCGACTACTGCTCTCGAGCACAGCTTCCATCCACCATCCATGCCATTAGGAACTCAATTCAGCTTCAGAGGGAAGAGGCGGAGTATTTCGTTGCTTTTTTTATTTTTTTGCAGTGCATTAGACGCAGCAACTACCTGTTAGCTCAGAAACCATTGCACGTGACACCAGACGATACCTTCATCTCGGCACTAGCGTCAGACTCTAAGAAACAGGTCAAGATCTCGCCCACCACGACTGCAAGGCCCCAGAAGTGAAATACACGCTCGCCGCTCATTGCTTGATGTTCGAGCACAGAGTCGTGCTCCCACCAAATCTACGAAATGCTATTCTCAAAAATCTACACACAGCTCACTTGGGTATTGTAAAAATGAAAGGAATGGCGTGTTTTGGCCAGGCATCGACTCGGGCATTGAAAACCTCGCAAAATCATGCACTGCATGTGCATCTCACGCACACCCGAAGTTTCGTGACCACCACTGGGAGTATCAAAAGGCACCGTGGGAACGAATACATATCGACTACGCCGGTCCCGTGGCTGACACCATGCTACTAATTGTTGTTTATGCCTACAGCAAGTGGCTCGAAAGTTAAGCCT